CCAGTGTGAAGGAGGTTCAAATACTGACTGGTCGAATAGCAGGGTTAAGCAGATTCATCTCTAAGGTGGCTGAGAAGAGTGGTCCTCTGTTTAGGACGTTGAAGAAGAGCTTTAAATTCCAGTGGACGGTGGAAGCCCAGAAGGCTTTCGAGGAGTTGCGGGAGGTGTTGGCAAACTTGCCCCTACTAGCTAAGCCAGTACATGGAGAAGAGCTCGTACTCTACATATCGGTGGGCGAAAGTGCAGTAAGCTCGGTGCTACTACGTGAGGAGGGCGTAGCACAGTTCCCAATATACTATGTCAGTCGAGTAATGCAAGGAGCAGAGTTAAGGTACTCAGAGATTGAGAAATGTGCATTGGCGGTGGTCGTGACGGTTCGAAAGCTGAGACCATATTTCCTAAATCATAGAGTCAAGGTGCGAACAAACATGCCTCTGGAGCACACTTTAGGCCGACCGGCGGTATCTGGTCAACTAGTGAAGTGAGCGGTCGAGCTGAGCGAATACTCTATCCTTTATGAGCCAAGGAGGGCGATCAAAGCGCAAGTTCTGGCTGATTTCATCCAAGAGGGTACGAAGGATGAAGGGAAAATGGACGGGACGTGGCAACTGTTCGCGGATGGCTCAGTCTCGAGGAGTAGAGCGGGACTGGGCATAGTCCTGGTATCGCCCAAGGGAGATCACTTGGAGTTTGCTGTTAAAATGGGTTTTTGAATGTCAAACAATGAGGAAGAATACGAGGTGGTGATAAAGGGGCTGCAGCTGGCTCTGGACGGAGGTGCTCAAAAAATCCAGGTCCACTCTGATTCTCAGCTGGTGGTCGGACAGTTCCAAGAGGGTTTCGAGATCAAGGAGGACAGGCTGCAGCGTTATGTGAACGATATGAAGAAGCTGAAGGAAGAATTTGGGTCCTTCGAGTTAATGCAAATACCAAGAGGAGAGAATGGTCGAGCCGATCTGTTATCTAAAATTGCTCAAAATTTGGTAGACTGTAAGAGCAAAAGTGTGACCCTGCTCCACATGGAAAGAAGTATGGTCGAAGCAGAAGTGGTAGAGATTGAGGAAGTGGAAGACTAGAGAGCTTCGATCCTAAAAGAGCCGAGAGAAGGAACAATCAAAGTATTAAGAATGTTTTTCGAGCAAGGGGGGATTCTTTACAAGAGATTGTACGCAAGGCCGCATTTGCGATGTGTGACTAAGGAAGAAGGCCAGTATGTCCTCAGAGAGATGCACGAGAGATGCTGCAGCGACCACAGCAAGACTGGAGCCATTGTGGCAAAGATTTTGAGAGCAGGGTATTTCTGGCCGACAATGAAGGCGGATGCCAAGGAGATGACCAAAAGATGCTTGCAATGTCAGAAACACGGCCCGCTTATCCACCAACCCGCTGAGACAATGACCACCATGAGTGCACCAATTTTGTTCGCGTAGTGGGGAATCGACCTGGTGGGGCCAATGCCGCAGGCAACAGGGCAACGAAAATTCTTGGTCGTGGCGGTCGACTACTTTACGAAGTGGGTGGAAGCTGAACCACTGGCCAGGATCACTGAGGAGAAAGTAATCAAATTTCTGTACAACAACAATTGCTGTCGGTTCGGGGTTCCCAAAGTTTTGATATCGGATAATGGAACGCAATTCACTTGCAAGCGGGTTAGGGCGTGGTGCGAGGAGATGGGAATTGAGCAGCACTTTGCCTCTGTCGCCCACCCGTAGTCCAATGGGTAAGTGGATGTGACCAACAGGATTATATTGAGCGGGCTGAAGATAAGACTGGAAAAAGCTTCATGGTCGTGGGTCGACGAGTTGACATCTGTACTCTGGGCCTACAGAACTACCCCGAGGTCGACCACTGGGGAGATACATTTCAGCCTGGTCTACGGGATGGAGGCGCAGTTGCCAGTCGAACTAGAATTGCAATCCCAACGAATGAGCGCGTATGACCGGGAGCAGAACGAGGAACTCATACTGGCTGCTTTGGATACGATTGAAGAACTCAGGGAACAAGCCTCGACCAGAGTGGAGGTGTACAAACAACGGATGAGAGCAGCCCATGACAGGAAAGTGAAAATCCGCCGATTTCAGGTGGGCAACCTAGTCTGGAAAAGGGTGGACGTGCTTAAACATGTAGGAAAGCTGAAGCCTAATTGGAAAGGGCCATACTTGGTCAAAAAAGTCCATGCAGGAGGAGCATATTCCTTGAAGGACGCTGAGGGCAGATCGCTAGCCAGGTCGTGGAACGTAGCTAATCTTAAAAAATATTATGTATAATCGATTTATATGATTACTTTCTATGCTCTAATGTAGCTTCGAAGCGAATTTTGTTCAAGGATTGCCAAAATAATCGATTTCTATGATTACTGATTTCTGTTCATGTCTACCATTAATTTCTCACAACATGTCATTTACAAGTTCGGTTTGATCCATTTAACGGCATAGTCATAATTCACCTGGAAATGACTAAAGCAAGATTCATCAATCTTTATATATGGTTACATGGATCCTAAATTCGATATGTATAATACAAGTCGATCACTAATACAATTTCTTTGAAATTTCTTGTTGGATGCACGTGGAACCACGGATGCAACCCCTGCTCACCATCATTCGAAGCAAGATAAAAGTCCTTCGTTTCAGAACACCCCGACCAAGGGGTGGGCGAAGGTCGCTTGTTTTCGGAACACTCCTAGGGGTGGGCATGTGGTCGACAACGTCCACGCCTCCGGGTTGGACGACCACAATGTTTTCGAAACATCCCTGGGGGTGGGCAAGTGAGAAGAGCAAAGTCCTTCGTTTTGGGAACACCCCGACCAAGGGATGGGCGAAGGTCGCTTGTTTTCGGAACACTCCCAGGGGTGGGCATGTGGTCGACAACATCCACGCCTCCGGGCTGGACGACCACAATGTTTTCGGAACATCCCTAGGGGTGGGAAAGTGAGAAGACCAAAGTCCTTTGTCTTGGGAACACCCCGACAAAGGGGTGGGTGAAGGTCGCTTGTTTTCGGAACACTCCCAGGGGTGGGCATGTGGTCGACAACGTCCACGCCTCCGGGCTGGACGACCACAATGTTTTCGGAACATCCCTGGGGGTGGCCAAGTGAGAAGACCAAAGTTCTTCATTTTGGGAACACCCCGACCAAGGGGTGGGCGAAGGTCGCATGTTTTCTGAACACTCCCAGGAGTGGGCATGTGGTCGACAACGTCCACGCCTCCGGGTTAGACGACCACAATATTTTCATAACATCTCAAGGGGTGGGCAAGTGAGAAGACCAAAGTCCTTCGTTTTGGGAACACCCCGACCAAGGGGTGGGCAAAGGTCGCTTATTTTCGGAACACTCCCAGGGGTGGGCATGTGGTCGACAACGTCCAACCTCCAGGTTGGACGACCACAATATTTTCTCAACATCCCTGGGGGTGGGCAAGCGAGAAGATCAAAGTCCTTCGTTTTGGGAACACCCCGACCAAGGGGTGGGCGAAGTTCGTTTGTTTTCGGAACACTCCCAGGGGTGGGCATGTGAGAAGACCAAAGTCTTTTATTTTTGGAATACCTCGACCAAGGGTGGGCGAAGGTCAAATAATATATTTATATACATTTAAAAATTGCAATTGGCTTCTATGATATATTACATTATTAGGCGGCGATTAATTTCACACTGTGAGTGGCTTCGAGCATAAGGGTTGCTACTCTACCTAAACAAATGGGAAAGTGGTCGAGGATATGAAAAGATCATCAACACAATGGACGAGGAGGAACTAACAATTGAGGAACACGTGGAGAATGAGGTCGAGGTCGAGGTGCTCGAGGATGAGGCCTAGATCTCGATGCACGCAGTGGCTGGCACCCGAGGACTGAGGACGATGCGGCTGTCGGCGCGGGTCAAGGATCCTCGAGTAATAGTGCTCGTGGACAACGGGTCGTCACACCACTTCATCAACACCACGCTATCTCAAAAATTGAATTTGCCGACGACGAAGATCGATCCATTTGAGGTCCAAATAGCTAATGGTGAACGACTAAGGTGCTCGGAGGCTTATCAAGGGGTGCCGATCAAATTTTAAGGAGTAACCGTTAAAGCCGACCTCTACGCACTACCCTTGGTCTAACCCAATGTTGTGCTAGGAGTGGAGTGGCTCGAGGGGTTAGGCAACGTAACCACCAAGTACCGAACCAGAATCATGAAGTTCGACTCAGGAGCGCACCGAGTCACATTGAAGGCCAGTGAGGGCAGCGACACCAAGGAGGTGGGACTTAAGAGCATCGAGCGAGTTTAGCGAGGGGCGGCCAAATCTTCGCCGTCATGATCGAAGAGGCGGGCGCACGCGTGGGCACGAGCGATCAACAGTCCGAATTACGCGAGCTGCTCGAGGACTTCGACTGCGTGCTGGGCGAACCTAAGGGATTACCGCCACACTAGGAGTTCGACCAACGCATACCATTGGTCGATGAGCGACATGCCGTGAACGTTCACCCCTACCGGTACGCGCACATCCAAAAGACGGAGATCGAGAGGTAGGTGAGCGAGATGCTCGTGTAACGCCCTGTTCGATTTGTAGGATTTCTCGGAAGATTCTATATATCGAATATTATTCATGAGATTATATTTATTTTATTAGTCGTGATGTCGGCTTAAATAATAGGGTCCTCGATCGTTTTATTGGAAAACGTTCGTCGTTAGTCGACTTCGGTTTAATCGCGTGAACCGAATACAATCCGTTTGAATAATGAATTTTTCGGATATTTTGGCATTATTAATATTTATATTTTATTTTATTAAAGGAATGTTATTATTTGTATAATTGCATTATTATTATTATTATTATTATTATTATTATTATTATTATTATTATTATTATCCATGTTATTTGTTTAATTGTTATTAATTGCTTATTATTATATGTATATTATTGTGTGAAATATATATATATATATAGGGGGAGGATCCAATGAGTACACTCCTTAAAATGAGTACACTCCTTAAAATGAGTCCACTTCTTAAAATATATATTAATTAAATAATAAAATAATTATTAATTGACTCCGACGTTGACCGTTGACTTCCGGCGAAAAATCGTTGACTTTCGACGTTGACCGTTGACTTCCAGCGTTGACCGTTGATTTCCGGTGTTGACCCGTTGACCCCTAATATGCATAATATGTATGAAGTAAATATGCATCCAGTACCATGCATTCAATATGAACTAAATATGCATGGGATATGAATTACACATGCAGTCCTTATGAACTAAATATGCACCAATAAT